CAAGTTAAAACAAAAACATAACTGCAACAAAAACTCTATGTTTCAGTTCTGTTTCTGAGTTTGTTTTCAGGTAGTGTGGAGTCCAGGCTTAAGTAACAAAATTTGGCATGGTGGCTTGTACACGAGGAGCATTGATGCTATTAAATTTTGGTGGTTAAAGGTCAAGTGGGTGGGGAGATAAAGGGAGTTGTGTGTATCTCCAGTAGAGCTAGACTTGATGATTTTACTTGTTATTAATACTTTAAATAAAACTCATCCTATTTTCAAAATCAAGCTGGTTTGCCATTTTATAGTAATTATAAATAGAAGTTTTTTTATAACAAAATCTTATAATAAAATTGTCTGTGGTGACATATATTAAGTTATATTGTAATTAAAATTATAAACAAGATCTCATAATAGTCAGGAGAGTTATGGAACTTGTTGCTGGATTTTTTTACTCATCGGGTTCAGAAGGCCTCAAAATGTCAAGATTTGCAAATTCAGGAGGGTCAAATTTGACATTATACTTTTCCATGTTATACACATGACAGCCAGGAAAGTAAAAGCTTTATCAAACTAACCAGAAAACAATTGAAAAATATTAAATAGTGGGGGAAAAATAATTTTAGTACAGCATTTCCTATTATTCTAAAATTTATCCAAGTAAAATATTAATAGGATTTAGATACATCCCAAGCATAATAAAGGTTACAGCAATTTATTTGGAACACCTACAAAAAGAATTTTATTGATTAAAATTAAATTAGTAGTTCATTCTTTTAACCGGTGAAATGAAAATTTAAACATTTCAAGTTGTATTTGTGACACGCAAAGCAATAGTAACAAAAAATACTTTGAAATTCCATCACTAAGAAACACAATATACCAAATTCACATACTTTAATTTCTACAAAAAGCAATAACATGAGGGAAAGAACAAATTTGATCATTTTTTAAGAATAATTCAGAGGTATTATGCCAAAATCCAAGTTATTTTTAGAAAACTTTTGAAATTCACAGGAATTAAAAATATGCAAACAAATGTATAAAAATTTGTCACAACCTTAAGAAACTTCACAAACCAAAATATTGAGTACAATTATACAACCATTTCCTTGTTAAAAATTACAAAATAGTTGTAAGCTGTGTTTCTGAAATCCAATAATTCCTTTTTTTTGTACATTATTTGATATTAACAAATACTTTTAATGTCTTAAATACGCTAAGGTCATTAACATTTACGTAATTTTTCTTGCAAATATTTATCCGAAGCATACTACAAACTATTTTAAAATTAAAATATTTTAGTCCTGTTTCTATAATTGTGTAATTTCTTGAAAACATTTAGTTTATTCGTCTTTTAATTAAATACGAATAGTGTTATATATCTTTGGTTGCAAGTGTTCTTCCAAACAGCAATCTGCATTGAAATCTGGTGAACAATCTGTACGAGATTACAAATTCAGTCCCAAAGGATTTGAACAGTGTATTAGTAAATGAAGGACAATGCCTTAAACTCTGCAATCAAATCAACAACTATATATAAGACTAAGTTAATTACTAATTTAACTGGAAATCTTTCAGCACGATTACCTACTTTGTATCACGATATTAAATTAATTATTAGTTATTAACAACTGTACAGTTTCTATGAATTAAATAAACTGAAAACAAATTTATCTGCAGCTTTCTATTGTTTAGTTCAAAATGCTTCACTTATTCCTTTTATATAAAAACAGCAACATTGTTGCTGGACTTTCATAGCATTCTTCGTTTTCATCCCTAATAATTGCTATCGTTACCATAAGTCTTCAGATTGCTCAGGACATATTAAGAGGGTGGAAGCCATGTCTCCCGAACCAACGATCCACTTTCAAAGATTAAGACTTCTAGAAACATTTCCCCCCTAATATGCAAACTCCCTGCAAAATTTCAAAAATTTTAACCCACTTCAAAACTTAATAGTGTCAAGATTTGAAGAGGATAAAAAAAATCATCCCCTCGCACACACACTAGCATCCATATATACAGGGAGAAAAGTTCCAATTTCTTTTGCATTTTGACATTTCAAGGTTTCCAGTCCAAATATATAAAAATCTTAGGGAGGCCATTTTTGACTGATCACAATACTCTTGTTATATAACAGCCAGGAAAGTAAAAAGAAAAAACAAAAACTTGACATAATAGATATTAATGAGTTTAGGAATTAAAACTCACTTGCAAATTAAACTGCAAGAACCAAATAATTATCTATTATCAAATCAAAACTAGAAATAATTTTTGAGTTTCGTTTATTAAATGCATTTATAGTAGTAAGAAACATGTTATAAGTAAATAATAGACCTGCTAACACGATTTTTCAGTAACACCAAACAATCTGTCATATTATTATGCAGATACAAGATGGACGCTTAACCTCCTACTCAAATTATTTTATATCTAATTATTAAATTAGCCTTATTATAGCCTGAAAATACAGATTATTTGGCAACAAGTTACACAGTTCTAGTCTAGTGAGCTCAAGTGGCTTATTTTTATAATTGGTAACAAAAGTAATGTAAAATTACAGCAGAATCTAGTTAACTCTAAATCACTTTCTTTTCCCAATCATCTAGCACGAGTCCAAATTCTCCCCGACTAATTCGAGTTAACCAGATTTCACTGTATTAATGAGAATTTCAATCCACGGCAGTTTTGTTTCTACTATAAAGTTAGAGAATTTATGACGTATCACATTATGAGTGAATGGATATAGAAAGAATAACTGTGTCAATGAAAAACAGCTAAACAAAACCACTGAATCATTACACAGTCCATGACATATTTAAGACTATTTCTAATAAAAACTAGACTTTATAACCAGAAAAAATTATTAAACACACGAACTACAAAGTTTTTTGTTTAAATAACTCCGTAAAATAAGCTATATTAGGATTTCGGTAGTAAAAATATCAATACGTTTAAAAAAAGAGAGAAATTTAAATATTTAAAGAAATCCACCAGAAACTAAAACTTTATGAAGAATCATCTCCACGTTTTGCTTTTCATCGATATTTCGTCATATCTAATTTTAAATGAATGCAAGATTAGAAATTTTACGATTAATATATTAATCTGCGATTTCACAAAATGGAAAAATCTTATACCGAGGTGTATCTATCTGTACAATATTCTATGAATATTTATCAGTAAAACAATTAACGGAAGATAATTAGTCTCAAGGTAAACACTTATTACAGCATGGGCAGAAACGAATCTTTTAATGATAAATTCGAAAATCAATCTGTAATGATTAAAACGTCTAGTTTAGAATTATTTTCAAGTTTCCAAACAAATTAATACGAAAGATTCTACAAAACATTACCGGAAAGGCAAGTAAACCGACGCAAAATACAATTTTATTAAATTCAATTATACGAACAATTTTGTTATCTAATGTAATAACCATCCTTCGTGGCTCCATTAATCTCATTTTGTGGTATTTAATAAAGGAATATTTTATACACATGAACAAGCAATGCATTTCAAACAAAACTAATATCTCAGAATTTCTCTTTTATTGATTGCGTCTCCTCTGCAGTCAACAGTCGAAATACTTTCGACATTAAGCCTTTGCAGTTTGCTTCCAAACTCGATATTACACATTGGACTTTTGATTAACAGGAAAAAAACTGTAAGCGTAAAGAAGTTAACTTGAACAACAAAGAATGTAAAACCTTACAATAATCTGAATACGTACAAAAAAAGAGATTAAAGATTTCTTTTTTTAAATCAAAGACTTTAAATTTGTCACATATCATACCATACCAAATGCTCATTTTTTTTTTTTTTATAGTCTCTACTTGAGAATCAGTAGATGAATAGCGAGAGTAAAGCAATCTGCAAAGACGGTACCTCTCAGAAAGCATTTCTAATGAAGGTCAACCTCTATTTGCACCGTAGATACACTAAAAAACCCCAGAAAACACCACAGAGCAAGCCTGCTGGTGAGGTGCAAACCTGCAACTACCAGCGTTCGGAGATTTCGTCCGTCAGTTAGCAAAAAGTAGAACATCAGACCCATATTTATGACTTATAACTAGATAAATTTCATTAGATATACACACAGCTGTAAGAAAAGAATTACAATAATAATAATAATTCTGTCTAAAAGAATTACAGTTAAATCCAAACACATTACATAGGATTTAGCTGTATGTGGTCAAAAATAAGCTAAATAATACATTTAAATCTAACTTTTTTATATTTCGAGCATTATTTTACGCAGATTTCGCTTAAAACATTAAATTGTCTTGCTACACTGCAATTTTTTTTTTTGTAGTATTTTGTTAACTCCCACCCAATTTTTAATATTGATATTAAATTAACAGACGAATTACCATGTTTTTAATGATAATTGGACTCTTATCAATCAATCAAATCCATATATGGTAAAACTGGACGGTTTTTTAATCGTTTAAAATAAGCCAAAACCTGCAGAAAATTAGCTAAAAAAAAATAAAGTTCATACTCTGATTTTTCGAATTAAAAAAAATTTAAAAAAAAAACCACACCTCACGACTCAGGAAACAGTAAAAATTATATTAGTAACAATTTAGTAAAAAGACAAAAAAAATCTGATGATACCATCGATTTGATTGGACGAATTACAAACCTCCGCCCAACATCGACCATTCAAATGGTCGGAAAGAACAAAAGCTGTTTTATTCTAATTTATGACGAAACATCAATTATCAAAAAGACAATCTCGTCGACGGGGGAGAGAGCGAGAGCGACATCGAGAGAGACAGAGAGAGAGAAAATTATTAATAATAATAATATTTAAAAAAAAGAATTAAAATACGTTTAAAAAAATAAACTAACTGCGTATTATAAAATCGATAAATCCGACGAAACTTATAAAATTTAAGTAACGACCGCATTGGATTTTACGAATCGCAGTACGAATTTTTTTTTTTAATGTAATCAATTTTAGGCTTAGATTTAGGCCTAAATAAGGTAGAGACGAATTTCCTTACCATCGTACCGCTCCGCTTGCTCAGCTAATTTAGCTTTATAAACGTTATCCTCTCTTTCAGTCATGTCGGCTGAAGGTTCTTGACACTTTTACAATAACGGTTTCTCCAAAATACGATTCCAAATGGAAACCTTTTCCGAATACTCTTCCCGCCGGCAAAATGGCCGAACTCTCAACAACCAGCACTACGATATCAATGCGCGCTTAACTCCACCACACGGTATCATCCGATTGGCCGGCCGCAGAAAATAGTCCCGCTCTTGCCTCCCCGCAAAAAAATGGCGTATTAATAAACAGAGCGATTTTTTCCGAATTATAAAATAGTTTACGTTTATTTCGATAAAAACGATTAAATTCGTCGTTGCGCCTCTATTTCTTATACGCGAACGTTCACGCCTGTGATGTAACCGGCGTGCATGCGCAGTGAGGTTATGCAGTAGTGGTTCCGTGCGATAGTTCGTCTGCCTTTTATCTTTTTCCCTAAAGGAATTTTTTTGAGGGAATTTACGTCGAGGGTTATTTATTACTATAAATTATAATTATTATTATTATAAACGATGACGACGATAAAAGTATTTTATTATTAGAATTGATCTTTTTGTGTTTTACTTTAAAAATTTCACGTTTGACGCGTTTAGCACGTGCACCAGTACACGTTTAATATGAGTCGCGGGTTCGTCGTTAAGTGTTTTAATCTTCGTGGAACACACGCGTTAAGCACGTGTCAACGCGGTTGTTCGTAAGCGGCGCGTGTAGAAATATAAAAAGAAACGTTTGTTACACTTCCGAGAAGTAATTATTGCCTACGTTACTTTTACGTATAATAAACTTTACCCGTCACGTGATCTGACGTCGGCGTAAGAAAATTAATTTTTCATTCGTCGTAAAAAAAAAAAAAATATTACTAGAAATTTGTTACAAAATTTCCCAAAAATATAGAAAATTCCGTTACTTTATTCCTGAAAAATCCCTACATTTGCGTAATATAAATATTTAACGAAAATTCAGGGATAAAATGTTTCCCTAAAATTTCTGTAAACTTTCGTTAATTATTTGACGAAAGCACTTTTTATCTCTAAAAATATCCCTAAATATTCGAATTATGCTTTCGTTATGAGTAATCTGTAATATTTCGCATAATTGTGAAAGAAATTATCGAAGAATTGATAAAATTATATCTCCTTGTAAAGCAAAACCGGAGTTGGATATTAAATTTCAATCTCCGTTATAAGAATATACAGTAACTATTATTCTGTTATTAAACTTTGACCCCTTAAGATTAGATCACTGAACTGATTTAATAATAAATCATTCAATGTAGATTTAGTTTATTTTTGTTGATCTCGCTTTTTAAAAGGCAAAAAAAGCATTAAATAATTTCGAGATTTTACTCCGCGAATTTCAAATTTAGAGGCAAAAAAATACATTCGTTTTGTCTAAAATAATACGTCAAATTGACGTCATTATCGCAATTTCTCATTAGAAAAGTTTAAAAATGACGTCAAATTGACGTAGTCATTCGGAAAAAACGAATTCAACCAATAATCTGAGATTTTATAGTCGAGTCCATTTAAGCGGGTAGAAACTGTACAATACATTCCAATGAATTTGATGGATAACGCGATTTATTAAATTTTTAAATATTGTTTTATGGATAAGAAAATTATTGTATTTGCTTATAATTTGTAATCAATATATATTTTTACTAGAATATTATTTTAAATTGTTAATGGCGATCTTCTGACAAACTACCATGCACTGTTATGTTATAATGGATCTATTCATTCAAAAATAAATACGTTTTCTGCACGCCATTCTGCTACTGTTCGACCTACCCGACTGTGTGACGTATAAAGAAACTTTACTGACATCAAACCGGAGGATAACCTAAATGAGTTTTCGAACGCGTTTTAAGATGGCGGAAGCTCGTAACTTGTTATTGGAAATTATTTCTATTTTACTGACAGTAGACACCATTTATTGTTTCTATTAGTGATAGCACATTTGGCCAATCAAATACACTCTCGATGTGTACTTTCCATCTTGTGACAACTCACATAACTGTAACACGATGAAGTAAACGTCACGACTTCTGACTGACGTCATAACCAGATCTGAATTTTCGAACATTCGAACAACTCGTTTTCGACTTTACGAACACGTTTCAGTCAGACAAGCTCAGATGCGCCCATTTGAATTGAATAAAGAAAACAATTGAAACTATAGTGTTTGTACAGAAGTAAAGAACATATGTATTTCAATTTTGTTAGTGTATATGATTGGCGCTTTAAACAAGCACAGTACACATTTCGGGAATTTTGACCTCCACATAACAGTGTGCAAATTAAACATATATATTATAATACCTAAGTGCATTAGGTAAAAATATGGCGTTTAAAACAACTGCTACTAAGTAGTAGCGAGCGGGTAAAAGAGTGTAATGTATTCTATTAAGTGCATTGAAAGATCAAATATTAATTAACAGTAAGTGGTTATTCTATGTAAATATACTTTCTAGGTTAGTTTTCTAATTATGAAAAAATCTTGGGTACCTAACTTGTTCGTAAGTAGGAAAGCGCCGTAGCGACACCATGTTTAAAGAAAATTAAATACATATACGCCATTTTTATTTTAGTCAAGGGAACGTGCCATTTGTGTTGTGTAAAGGCAATGAAATAGAATAATCTAACTCGTTGTGTAAAAGTGTGCAAAAGAAAGGAAAAGTTTTAACCCTTGACTGAGATGTTGCGAGTCAAAATGACCCTACTTATTTTTCTTTTTAATTTTGAAAGAAAATAAAAAGACATTTCTTTCTTTAACTTTTTATTTACTCGACGGCTGGATGGCCGAGTGGTCAAGATGGCAGGCTACCGCTCTGGATAATCCGAACGAGTTCAAAAAATTCCCCAGGAATTTTTCGATGGTATATGTTGACCTCCGTCTCTTACCATCAGGCCACTCCATTGTGGGCTTGGCCGAACCCACAATGCTCTTGCTAAAAAAAAGAGGCCCTCTTAGTGTCTGCAGGGAGAAGTTAAAAAAACCATTTATTTAAACAAGACTAAATAAATTAAATGCATTTCTAAATATACATTATTAGTTCTACTTTCCTAGCTGTTATATAAAAAAATCATGCTAAATTTGACCCTCCGAGTTTTTTTTTTTTTTTTTTGCAAATCTCCATGTTTTGAGGCCTTCTAAACCCCCAAAAAAGGAAAAATCTTTCGTGGTCACTACCCCCCCCCAAATTAAGCTTTTTGCCATTTGATAATATTTAAAAAGTTATAAGAAAAGGTTTCTTCTTCGGATAGCGAGACTAGTGATAATTACCACGTCTTTCTTAATTATCCGCAATTAACAGAGACAAAGATTAAAACAGTTCACTTTGTTTCACCTATTTAACAACGCATTTCGGATTAGTAATTTTCCAATCCCTTTTCTGGCACACGGCTTCAATGTCTAATGTTGTCTACAACATAATAAACGAAAGCTTAATTCACGTTAATATAGTTGTCTAGAATGACGCATATAGTGCACAATTTGTACACATCCTAATGGTGCAGTTTCTACATATCAGTCTCTTTCATTTACCGGCATGTTTTCTTTGTCTATTTTTGACAGAAAAATGCAATATTTCTTCCATTTCCCACCATTAATAGCTCTTTATTACCTCTTAAAAGGATTTTAACTTCAAAAAATATTGTTATATTGAGGGTTAAGTACAGTAGACCCCTATAACGCGGAGATACGTTCCTCGTTATACGAATTTCGCGTTGTAGGAGTCCTTAAATACGTGAGCCAATCGCAGCCCGACACGTGTGAAGTTTACGGACTACGGCTGTTTGAAACGTTTTCTTCCATAAAATTAATCGATTCTAGACTAATTCGACTCAACATTTCCAAAACACGTATAATTTTTTGGGAATAATCCGTATAAACTATGCTATATACAAAAAATTGTGGGATTACTTACCGAGTGTGCACCGTTCGACGTCGCCATTGCTTAAGCTTGTTTTCGTCGCGGACCAGTGCACCAAACTGCGGCCGCGATTTCTGATGTTATTTTTCTGCGAAAACTTCGTTGAACTTTGGAGACATCATTAATATAAATAATTTTTATGGCCGTTGAATAAGAAATGTTTCTTTCACAAGAAATGTATAAAA